AACTCTAGCAAAGAGTGCAGAAATATTACAAATTTAAATAATTAAGATGTAAATAAATAACTAGATGTACACGCTTTCATGGCGCTGCTTTTTATTTACACGGAACTAAAAGCAGCATCTGAGCCGGTTTAGAGCAGCCTCAACCAGGCTGTGCAAAGGGCAGCTAATGAAAATTCATACCATTCATAAACGTCAATTAAACACAACCGCATGAACAACGCACGAAAAAAATTAAATCCCAACATCCTCACTGAAACCATCGTCCATTAAACAAACTGAGAGTGCATTCGAGAGACTACTGAACATTTAAAAAATGTAAGACGTAGTAGATGACAGTATATTACAGAAATATTTGCAAATGGGTCACTCCTCCAATGTCGCCGACGTGTCGCCAAGGATACAGAGAAGAGTGATTTCTATTGGTCAGAGCAGGGATGGAGAGTAAACGATTATTTCTGTTAACCAGATAATGCTTGCATAGAGGAGGAGGATATATATTGGATGATATATACCTAACCTACAACAAAATATAAAGTGGATAGTTGCTTTCAAAATAATCAAATATGAAAATTGACCCTCTCCATGGTGCTGAAATGATGTTCTTCACCGAACGACTCCTTATCTCCATACTGTCCTTTCCCACCAGTTGCATGATAAAGCTGGAAGCACTTAATTTACATCTACAATACTTTTGATGCATGTTTAGGGGGAGAAGTGTTCACAATGGTAATAAGAAACAAACACAATATGCAAATATTCTCAAAAAGTGATTTTAAAATAATGACACGTACATCTGTAACGTGATCCCATATATCACATAATACACTAAATTGTCCACGAGTAGAATCATTTGTTGTAAAGTATATAAATAAATGTGGCCACATTGTAATTGTCATAGGCCTAAACAACCACACCAATGCACGTCTGTGCACAACAAAACTGACATTCTTTCAATCGATTTTCATTATATTTCTCAAAGACTTTATTTTCTAGCTATACTAATTCCTACCGTATTTGCCTGCCATCCCAAGCTGGCAGAATACGGACATCAAAAACAGGGCTCTCCATACTCGCGGATGCATCGTATTAACTATCCACGGGATTGAAGTCAGCACGCGTTTTTTTGTCGCCCTCCGTCAAGAATTTAAATCCACATTTTGTCTGTCGGTGCCGCAGGCTTGTGCTAAACGCTCGTAGCACAAGTGATGGACGCGTCAGATCAAGACAAATTAACTGTAGGCTTTCGCTTCAGGCAGTAATAAACATACAGAGACATTAACGAATGTACTGAATTTCTGGTGCGGATCTGGATCAGGAGCGGGAATCACGATCTTCCTTCATCGGTGTGGTGGGGACCCGCGAATACGTCATAGGGAGACCAGGAGGTTTGTGAAGAGTCTTGCGTGCAAAATGAAGGAAGGGAGCTAGAGCCTATACATCTGAGTCCTGGTTTACCTATGAAATGAAAGAGTGGGCAGGATGTGTGGCTGTCTGTTAGTTATAGCATTGACTGCAGAAGATGATGAATTCCTTCTGTTGCGGTTATAGTTTTCCTCCTCCCACGAGAGACTGAGGTGAAAAGGAAAATGACATAACATTTCACTAAGGAAACAACTGATATCAAGTGAATATGAGGTAAATCCATGTCCAATGACAAATGCTGATTGTTAGCCACACCTTTATTTGGAATCATACAGAAACGAATATGGAATGTTTAACATGATGGCAATAATTTTGTGCAGTAGTAGTGCCAGTGGGATGAGTGGCCATTTTAAATATAATATCACACTTGGGGTATTTGTATTAAATTGCAAAGTTTCTGTTGTTTAAAAAGGATATACAAAGTCCTATATTAGGCTTATAGCTGTCAAACATATGACAAATGAACATTTATTGTATATTCCCCTATGTGTGCCATAGGAAACCACTGTCAAAAGAAAACCAATGTCATACTCAGTCATCATCATTTATACGTCACCATAATCTACCACCAATTGAGACAGTAGCAACAAAACACGTCATTTTTTACAAGGAGGTGCACCCGATTAAGCTGAGCTGTGGTGCCACCAACTGTCCGCATATTGTCAGTGCAGTATTATTCTTATACATTCTGGTATTCTATTTTATGAGCATGGCTTTGCCATTAATTAGACTGTTACATTATTATTTAGCTCCACAACAAAATGTTAAATAAAGTATTTTTTTCCAAACTATCCAAAATATTTTGAACA